CCGTACAATGTGTTTTGTTTTGGCTTTCCAACCTTGCATTGGTTGTACTTGGGCTTTGTTGCACATGTTTTCGACGAATGTAATGGCTGCTTGATTGATAAGTTTCTCTCTTGTCAGCAAAGTAAGACTTTCGATGAAGTAGATGCTGGTCACTTCGCAGTTTGTTCCAGTAACCATCATTCACATGTGACCCTCGCAAGTAGGTTTTGTAAGACGGGCTGGTGGTTCAGTGAAATAGTGGGTATGATATCCCAAAAGTGAATTGCTTTGATCATTTTTTCCGTGGTAAATTCAGGTAGGGGACGCTGTCAAGGTCACAAGAATTTTGCTTTCCCTTGCAAACTCTTGTTAGTGGCTGTTCCCTTGCCAGCCCCTTGATTGTCCATAGTTTTGTCACTTCTGATTTAAAGAACATAGATTGAATTGGCTTGATCTTGAAGAGACATTAGCAATGACTTAAGAACAGTCATGCCTGTCTACTATAGGTTGCTGACAATATATGTCTAGTACTGGCAACTTATGGCCTTTGCACACCGAACACGCTTGTGACGGGCGAGCACTCGCTTGTGCACTCGTGATTTGCCTCGCTTGTGCACTTGCAATCTTCCTCGCTTGTGCACTTACGATCTTGTGGTCAATCATATTCGGGTTCAAGACTCCTGTGCCACGGGGCACAGCCACGCTTTGGTTTTAAAGGGACGCAGCACCTTTTCTCTGCAAGCTATGCAAGCAATTCTTGAGCCACGGAGTGGCAGTGGGAATGAATTCATCGGGCTCATGTCATATATGCCAATACTATACATGCATTGTGTAAACACGTGTGCCAAAATTTACATCACCCCCCCGACCCTCCCCCCTTCCCCTCCTTTCCCAATGCGATCCCCACCCCTCGCCCTTCCCCCTCCTTGTTCCCAATGCGACCCATCCCTCCCCTTGGCAATGCGACCCCTCCCCCACTTGTTCCCAATGCAACCCCAATGCCCCCCCACCCTCCACCTTTTCCCTATGCGACCCGCTCCCCCACCCCCCACCCCTTGTTCCCAATGCCCCCCTTCCCCTTGTCCCCTATGCCCCACCCCTCTCCCCTGGTTCCCTATGCGACCTCTCCCCCCTCCCCTTGCCCCTATGCCCCCGCCCCCTTCCCCTCGTTCCCTATGCGACCCATCCCCCAAACCCCCCCCACCCCCTTGTTCCCTATGCGACCCCCCCCCCCCACCCCCCTCCCCTTGTTCCCTATGCGACCCCTTCCCCATAAGTGCGCAAGTGAGTGAAATTTTGTGGTTAAGTGCGCAAGTGAGGGTAAGTGCGCAAGTGAGTGAAATCTTAAGTGCGCAAGTGAAGGCTTTGCCCTTGGGACTCATCGAATTGGTATCTCAATTCCATCATCAGCATGCTGACAAGCAAATCACGATGCCGTTTGACATGCATGCAGTTGTATTTGATGATATTCATCAGTGTTGCCACCAATGAACGTCGTGCACCAATGCAATTGATCAACCTGCGCCAAAACCAGTGCACACAACTATGGGAATTACATAGCCAGTAATTCAGTGAATCAGCCGGACTGGTAGAGTGAGTCGCCGCCGCGAAAGCAGAAAGGGGGCCCCAGCTTAGCAGCCTGACAACTTGTTTGCAAGTGTTGGCTGATGGCGGTGGATCGTTTCTCTGTCTGCTTCTACCATCATGGGTGATGCTTCCAATGACAGTAAAATTAAAGAATAGTCATGTCCTGGGTGTATCTGAGTCAATCGCTGACAGCATGACGCAACCCCATCTTTGTGATCACTTGGAACCATGACCGCGGAATCATTGCGCGGATGATGGTGAATCATAAAAACGAAACGACAGGTACAACTTTTAATCGTCACTTTCAAGTAAATGGCGAGCATGGACTGACAACCACGCCAAAAGTTAAATGTTGTCAACTAAAAATGTTTCTGGCACATTGCTAGTGGTTAAAGCCACCATTCATTGACCCACGCACTTTCTTTTCCAGAATTAAAACTAAGTCTTGGGCATCGTCACCACGAACCAACAATGCAAACATCCTGCAATTTCTCGATGGTTTGACTACCAGCTTCTGTTGCTTATGTTCGGCAATTCAGAGCAGCTACTAGTGCGCCTCCATTGTTTTCTCTTAGAATCATTGTGAATATGATGCCCAGCTATAAGATTTATGTGCACGCTGCTTTGAGGTGTACTAATAAGAATCATGATGATAAAAACAATAGTAGAAACATCATTCGTTTCTCTGCAACTGTGGCACCTGGTTTTCACATTTTCTGCTAATATTTTTCAAACCCCCCGAAAGGAATACCGAGAAGATGTTTGGATTGGCATCGCAGGTGATGAGCAATCTCCTTGCAGAAGGTGGTCGTGTAGCCATTGAGTGGCCAGCAGACTCCGGATGGTGGGACCTTCCTGAAGTTCAGCAATTTGAAAGGATCATGGGCTCAGACGAGTATACTGGGTGTTCATGGTGTAAGCAAACCCATCAAGAAGCCTTGGTGCGTTTCGTCCTGTGATGAACGGATTCTCAAAGCACTTGCTGAATATCAATGCGATGGTTCACACGAACATGAGCCGGCCGAAGAAAAGTTTGTGTCAGTCATTCTCGGGCCTTGGTATCCGCAGAGATGGTTCACCAATGTTCCTGACCTCAGCTGAGTGTCAGCACTTGTCACAAAGAACCTGTCAAACACTCAGTGGTTGAAAGATGGCGAGGCACTCAAGGCTGTAGAGAAAGAGGCCTTAGGTCTTCGATCAAATGGAACATGGGGCGATACAGCGGTCATTCCTCTTCACTTGTTGAAACGCCGAGCGCGAGAGACCGGTGAGAATGTCAAGATTGCTGAAGTCTTGGCGAATATAACCAATACATAGCAATACAAAGGACGTGTGTATCGGGGCGATAGATAGAATAACAAATCAAATCGGTGATCATGATGTTTTCTTCTCCGAAAATGAAACTGCGACCACTCCAACTGCGATAGCCGCGCTCAACTTGACACTTTGGCACGGTGCAATGTCCATTGTTTCATGTGCAGACTGCATCCAAGCATACTTGCAATGCAAGTTGGATGGCGACACATGGGTTATATTACCCTTTGAGCTATGGTTACCAGAATGGAAAAAGCAGTATCACCCAAACACAAAGTTGGCTGTGAAGTTGATAAAATCACAATCTGGTCATCCACAAAGTGGAAATCTGTTGCATTTTTTTTCGAGACACAACTGCAAGAAATGGTTGGCGTCCCACTCGAATCATACCCGTCCAATTTTATTTTCAAGTAAGGTGACAACTCTGAACACACGCTCATCCAAAACATCTATGTGGATGATCTTACCTGAGGAGGGGGGAACAAGGACGTCCAAACAAAATTTTGGAAGGAGCTGAAGCTCAGAGTGAAAACGTATCCTGAACAGTATATTGAGGAGAATGGGGTGAAGATTCTTGGCCGGGTACACTCAATCCAAAGAAACCCGAAACAAACAAGTTGTAATGACATATGACATGAGATCATATTCGAAAGGGATAATTAGCTTTTACTGCGAAATTACTGGCATGAGACAAGGGAAGCTCCGTAAAGTGAGCACGCCCTGTTTGCTGGAGAATCAGATGACAGATGAGGAACTGGCTCATGAGGGTGAGATGCACGCATTTGCGGCCAGGATCTTAATGAGATGCCTCTGGTTGTCACGTCTTGCTAGGCCTGACATAAGTTTTGCAGTACAGCGTTTAGCTAGCCGAATCACGCGTTGGATTAAATGGGAGGATGATAGGCAAAAGTTGCGACTAGTAAGTTGCCCGAACTCAACATGTGAATACGTCATGCGTGCTGCAGTTGAACCTGACCAAGCACCGACGTTGCTGGTATACATTGACGGCGACTTTGCATCCTGCCCATACACATCACAGAGCATTTCTGGTATTGTATGTGTCCTTCAAACTGGTTCATCATATTTTCCACTACTATGGTCCTCGAAGAAACAAAGTTCGACCGCGAGGAGTACCACAGAAGCTGAGCTTATAGCATGCGCAAGCGCATTATTCGGCGAAGCACTCAATCTCCACACAATGATTGAATCTTTAACTGAAGTCCGTGTTCCTGTTTCCTTTCAACAGGATAATCAGGCTGCAATCACTGTTGTTCAATCTGGATACAGTGCGAAGCTCCGTCACGCTGGGCGGGTCCATAGGGTCAATGTAGCATCCACCCATGAACAACTGGATCAAGGCGCGTTTGACTTTGATTACGGTGAGACAACGGCTCAGTTGGCAAACGGGTTCACGAAAGTCATTGGACAAGCCGAATGGCAACAGACGCTGAAAAAGCTATGTCTTGCTACCCACTATTAAATCCAAAGAAATTCCCAAAATTGGCCAGGCAATACTTTGCCTTGGTCCCTGAAATCGTTTGACCATGTTCATGTACAGAACGAGGGGGGGTTATTGATTTGTAGGTGAAATCACCACATATCATGGCGTCCTTCTGCACATGTGTCATGTACCTCATTTTGCTGATGCGACTTTACATTTTGGCTCAAGAACTGGCTAAATTATTAAAAAGGTGCTTCCGCCTGTGCTGCTGGGTCTTGAGGATATGCATATAACCACCACACTTGGGCTAGGTGTGGGGATTTTATCTAAAGAAACAAAAAGTTTTTTGTGTCACCACATGAAGTAAATAGCACACTCACTTTTGCAGAAATAGGGGCGAATCGATCTCGAGTTCACGGCAGAGATTCCCGGACAAGATGATAAGAAGAAGAACCACCAAATTTCAGCACTTTTCACTTATTTCACCGTGAAAGATTCTTCTGGCATCCCTTTTCGGCGTAATTATCGTTGGAAAATGTGGAACCAATGAATAGTTTGAGGTCGACAACATGATTGGCCAGATTATTGAAAACATACATCCTGGAAATCTCAAACCGATGCTTTTGGGGACCCTTTGATCTTTTGTCCTTCGGTATGACTCCAGCCATTGCGAAAGCAGGCGGAGCCATTCTCTGTACGGAACTGCAAGCCCTTGCGCAACTGCCTCGCTTCCAATGTCCACCTCCTGGCAATTGCTCCTTACCACTCAGTTCCTGGACGGATTGGGGAGAGTGCGGCAGGGTTTTTTGCTTGGCAAGTTGTTGTGCACAAATAGATGTACAATGTAAAGTTTCAATTTGCAACATTTTTTGTAAGAGGTCTCGTTGGAGCACCGAGGTTTTGTGAACGACAACGTTTGCGACTGTCCAGGAACATGTGCTGATGAGGAGGACTGGGACTGTGACACTTGCGCGTGTCCAGATGTTTGCGGCATCAAGAACCGCAATTGTTTCTGCGTTGTGTTCTTAGTTTTTTTTGCCAAAGGTCAACGTTTGATTGATGGGTAGTGGGTCCATTTTGAAATACTTTGATATAACTTGCACATGTAGACTAGCCAACCAGCTAACCAAACATTTTTCCAGGGGCAGGGCGTCAAGACCGTCCAGACTGGCCATGTTTGCTGCAATTGCAACTGGGGATATAGCCAGGAAACACCGGGGATACGATCGACACTTGTTCGATGGTGTCATTTATGCTCTTTTGTTTGCTCAGATATTTCCATCATTAAACATGGGATGATGATCCGGACCATCGCCGAAGTATGACCAACCTCTTCCTCTTTCCATGGCCTGCTATGCCTTTCGTGTTCCCTTTCTCAAATTCAAATTTTGGTTTAACCTGATGCGCGTCAACAGCCAGGTTTTGACGTCTACTTTCCTTGCCCGCTCAGCAATTGCACTATCAGTATCTACCGTCTCAACGATGGGAACTGTGATTGTCCAACCTGCGCAGATGAAAGCAAATTTACCTGCGACACTTGCGTTTCTGGGTGCCCGACGAACCAGACATGCCACCAAGATTACTTCTATCGATGTGAGTATCGGACCTTCAGGTGCGCGGATAGTTCCGAGTGCTCTATTGCCCCCAGCTGGTTGAACGACAACGTCTGTGATTGTCAAGACTGCTCAGACGAAGAGGCTTGGGACTGCAGCAATTGCTCATCCGGCTGCCGGGGTTGTGTCAATGAAAAGGCAGTCAACTGTTTTGGGCAGCAGTTCAACTTGAATTTTTCCATTCAATGCCCTGGCTATCCTGCACATCCCGGCTCACCCGCCATGAAGCTCGGATGTGCCATAAACTACACGGCGCTGAATGACAACAACTGTGACTGCCCCTCATGTAGCTGTGGCGTGTTTTAATGTCGGGGGTTCATCCATTTTTTTCCTACTCCACCTTATTTTCCACCATGTTCTTGTCCAGCATGGTGAAATGTCCCATGATCCTCCCTTACTTATGTGGAAAAAAGGTACCCCATGTTAGCAGATCTTTACACCCCCAACTCAGAAAATTATACCTAAGTTAAGATCGGGTGTGTTTCAAAAACATAGGAACTTAGGGCGTTGCATGCGTCCTTAGAAGGGTTGCTCTCAGGGACACGCACCTGCGAGCGGAAACAGCACCTCTGGCGGTGTTTGTTGATGTTTCGATTTAAGATGAAAAAATCTAAGTCATGGAAACTTAGTGGCACTTTTATCCGTTATATTATTCTCCATTATTATTATCCATATTTTTACCATGCGTCCTACCTTTAAAAAATATTTTGGGGTGGAACCAGGTCCTGGAATATTTTTTCAATATAATTTCCATTTTCCATAATTTTTATGTTGACATCATCTAACAAGAATCATAGCAAATTTTAAAATAATTTATGGACCCGTAACCTCCTGATGAGGCAAACTATTTTTCCACCTACAGAAGTTGAAGCAACTTGAAATAATTTTAAATAATTTACTGAAGGCACCCCAAAATAATTTCTCAGTTGGACAGGGGACATTATTTCACAGAGTTCCAACTGTATAGAATAATTTTGCCAGGTTAGGCTATTGATTTCATGGGGTGGTCTACTGGTACCCCCACCCCCAAAATCATTTATTGGGGAGAAAGGAGTCGATTCAGATTTCTTTGTCCAAAAGTCGATAATACGTGGTTCAGTAGTGCCACCCCCAAAATAATTAGGTTCTCATGGTTTGATTCTTTGAGACAGTTTGGGTCAATTTGGATCAATTTGGTATTTTTGACCTCTTCCACGGGAAGTTGAGTTTTGCCAGGTTAGGTTAATTGGTTTCCTGGGGTGGTCTAGTAGTACCCCCACCCCCAAAATAATTGTTTGGTGTGAAAGGGGTCGGCCTAGAGATGATTTATGTGATTTGTGGTGCCACCACCTCCTTTGTTTTTTTCCACGCTTGAGCGGCTGCCCTGCCAGGCGGCATCAGACGGCATTAGATTCTGTTGGATATTATTTTGAGGTGGCCCTACTGTTTTTTTCAATCATCCATCACCATGTTCTACCACTTCGAAATAATTTCAAAAAATATGTTGAGGCAAGGGAACTGTTTTGAGTAATAGCGGAACCACCACCAAATAATTTGTTTTCAACCTCTCAGAAATTATTTTGAAGGGGTGGGTAGTGTCAAAGGAAATTATTTTGGGGTTGGTTTTAGTGCTTTCTTTTGAACATATTATATTGAAGTGCCTCCTAACTAAAAGCACCTCTGATTCATTTTTAGATTTATTTTGAGGGGGCACCTAGTGTTTTTGCTTATGGTAGCCCGCATTTGTCGTTTATCCATATTACTATCCATATTATTATCCATCATTAGAAACTTTCCATTATCATCCATTCAACCTCTTCACTTCCCCACTCTTCACAATTAACTAAGTGACACAGGCAGAGATGAGACGACTGAAAAATGTGGTGATGGCATTTGCAGCTCCTCCATCTTCTGCAGTCCCGGGGGGGTGAACTCGCGGATCTGCAAATGTCCCACCAGCTGCGGGGAATCTACCAGCTGCGCAGGGAAATGCATGGGAGATCCGCTGCTCCGCGGTGGAGGTGTGCCTTGCCATTGGAGAACAAAATCCTGGGGGAAGGGAATCATTGGCAGCCACTGTCTTGCTGCACTCTGCTGGCAGTTTCTTTTTCAAAAGATGTGGACAATGTGATCTTCAAACATGCCCGCGACTTGTTCAGAAATCCCCTGGTTGAAACATGTGGGCACCTAGCTCTTCAGAAATCCCCAGCCCTTACTGAGCGTTTCATACTTAACGATGCCCCTAAATGCGCAGACTTATGATGACCTTGACACTTGGATATGACTCAGCAAATGTATTCCCATGGAAGGGCTCAACAAGTCAGCCACCATGGGAATCTGGGTTAATGTAGGACCAGGATTTATGTTGGAAAAATCCAACTATTAATCCCACATTGATCCAACAATCTCAATGTTCCGATGTTTCCACCTGACCCGACGCACTGAGGTCCCGATTGAATGTGTCTACTACTGTCCGGGCGCATTTTGTGGCAAGCACGTGCAGATCCTGAACAACAGCGTGTGCGATTGTTTCAACTGTGGCATGGCGTGGTGTTAAAGCATTATTTGATGGTGGGATGGCAATATATGCAAACCTGCTTGGCAAGATCACTTCCAATGCTTTGGTTACAGAATGCATCACAGGTAGAGGTTTGAAGATTGCTCGTGAAGCCAAGTCCGCTTGAAACTGAGTGAGTCCCACACAGACAGATTGGGGACGCACTGAGTATCCCAAAATCTGTTCTGGTGTAAGCTGTAGCACAGGAGCCAAATAGGCTTGCTGTAAGGTGGGGGAGTCCTGTGGGCTTAAACATGCAAGGCCCAACTAATACTGTAGTGATTTTCTCTGAGGTGAAGATGAAGAGGACTGGTCCTGCGCTACTTGTCAATGCCCTGCCGCACCGCTTGATACTCTCGATTTCAACGAACAGGGCTGTGGCTTTGAGCCCTTGGATGTGGTGCTGGGAGGGAAGGGTCTGGTGGACGATTCGGTGCGGGACAAAATCTCTACTTGCAGCTACTTTAGGCCACCTTCTCCCAGGAAATTGCCCGATGGCATGGATGGATCCATGGCGAACGAGTTGCTGGAAAGGGCCAGCAGGACGCCAAGAAACAATCGGTGCATCGCAGCAGTTTTTTAAATTGTGTCATTTATTTCCGAAGCTGCCAAATAAGCCTTTGTTTAAAGATGTTTAAAGGTTCCATCCATTTTCAATTTCGCATTGTCTGCTGTCAAGTTTCACCGCTTTTCATCCATAAACTTGGAATGCTTAGGTTGGAGCTGGCGATAGATGACTTTGTGAGCCGGGCGCTGGCAGATGATGAAGTCAGGAAAGCCATGGAGTCGGCCACTGCAGACGGGTATACTGGGCCAGCCTTGCAGGCAGCGCGGTTTGTTCACTCAAAAAACATATGGTGGCTTCCTAGAATGGTGGTTACCCCCGAATCACCCAAAAATCCCAAAATTAGACAATTTTAGTACTGAAACCCATGGTTTTGATGGTTTTGGGGATTCGTCATTTTAAGAAACCACGATATGGGCAAATAAAGGCTCAGCAAGTTTACAGAGATTTAGGGTGGTATATAATGGTATAAGCCATTGACCAAACGATCAGTGTATGATGGACAATGTATGAGTAGTAGAGATATGCCATCAAGGATGGGATTAACCATTTCACACATTTGTAGTATAATTTGTATATAATATAGCTTTTATACATATACAGTGTATTTATATATATATATACACATTTATAGCTGTTTATGTGCAAGTTTCTAATTTGTATGATCAAAGGAAGTTTAGGGGGAGAAACTTCCGTGTTACGGACTTTTAGAAAATCAGGGAAAGAGTTAGTCAAAGAAAGAGTTAGTCAGGGAAAGGTTAGTTAGGGAAAGAGTTCATCAGGGAAAGAGATAGTCAAAGAAAGAGTTAGTGAGGGAAAAAGTTAGTTAGGGAAAGAGTTCATCAGGGAAAGAGATAGTCAAAGAAAGAGTTAATGAGGGAAAGAGTTAGTTAGGGAAAGAGTTCATCAGGGAAAGAGTTAGTCAAAGAAAGAGTTAGTGAGGGAAAGAGTTAGTCAAAGGAAGAGTTAGTTAGGGAAAGAGTTCATCAGGGAAAGAGTTAGTCAAAGAAAGAGTTAGTGAGGGAAAGAGTTCGTTAGGGACAGAGTTCGTCAGGGAAAGATTTAGTCAAAGAAAGAGTTGGACTGTCAGGAAAGAGTTAGTAAAAGGAAGAGTTAGTGAGGGAAAGAGTTAGTTAGGGACAGAGTTGGATTGCAAGTGGTGCTGGTGGAGGAGTCGCCGATGGAGTTTTGAAGGAAGTCTCGCACGAAATGCGTTTTTGAGAGATAGCAGATGCACGAAACCCTGTGTTTTTCCATACAAAGTCCGTCCCCGAACGTCGATGGTCTACCTCTGCGGTGCGACGGGTGCGAGACGGTCTCGTGTGTGGTCGGATCATGCTCGGATCATGTTCGGATCGGTTCCGCATTGTAAATTGGGGTTTCACCTGTGTTTCGTGCATTTGCGTTCGACAGAATTCCATTGTGATTTGCAACTGTAGGATCGTTCCCGCAATGTAAATGGGATTGCAAGTGGTGCTGGTGGATGAGTTGCCGATGGAATTCCATTGTGATTTGCAACTCAAGGATCGTTCCCTCACTGTAAATGGGATTGCAAGTGGTGCTGGTGGAGGAGTTGCCGATGGAGTTTTGAAGAAAGTCTCGCACGAAATGCGTTTTTGAGAGATAGCAGACGCACGAAACCCTATGTTTTTCCATACAAAGTCCGTCCCCGAACCTCGATGATCTACCTCTGCGGTGCGACGGTTGCGAGACGGTCTCGTGTGTGGTCGGATCATGCTCGGATCATTCTCGGATCGGTTCCGCATTGTAAATGGGGTGTCACCTGTGTTTCGTGCATTTGCGGTCGACAGAATTCCATTGTGATTTGTAACTGTAGGGTCGTTCCTGCAATGTAAATGGGATTGCGAGTGGTGCTGGTGGATGAGTTGCCGATGGAATTCCATTGTGATTTGCAACTCTAGGATCGTTCCCTCACTGCAAATGGGCTTGCAAGTGGTGCTGGTGCAGGAGTTGCCGATGGAGTTTTGAAGGAAGTCTCGCACGAAATGCGTTTTTGAGAGATAGCAGATGCACGAAACCCTATGTTTTTCCATACAAAGTCCGTCCCCGAACCTCGATGATCTACCTCTGCGGTGCGGCGATTGCGAGACGGTCTCGTGTGTGGTCGGATCATGGTCGGATCGGTCTCGGATCATGCTCGGATCGGTTCCGCATTGTAAATGGGGTGTCACCTGTGTTTCGTGCATTTGTGGTCGACAGAATTCCATTGTGATTTGCAACTGTAGGATCGTTCCCGCATTGTAAATGGGGTTGCAAGTGGTGCTGGTGGATGAGTTTCCGATGGAATTCCATTGTGATTTGCAACCCTAGGATCGTTCCCTCACTGTAAATGGCATTGCAAGTGGTGCTGGTGGAGGAGTTGCCGATGGAGTTTTGAAGGAAGTCTCGCACGAAATGCGTTTTTGAGAGATAGCAGATGCACGAAACCCTATGTTTTTCCATACAATTGCCGTCTCCGAACCTCGATGATCTACCCCTGCGGTGCGACGGGTGCGAGACGGTCTCGTGTGTGGTGGGATCATGCTCGGATCATGTTCGGATCGGTTCCGCATTGTAAATGGGGTTTCACCTGTGTTTCGTGCATTTGCGGTCGACAGAATTCCATTGTGATTTGCAACTGTAGGATCGTTCCCGCAATGTAAATGGGATTGCAAGTGGTGCCGGTGGATGAGTTGCCGATGGAATTCCATTGTGATTTGCAACTCTAGGATCGTTCCCGCAATGCAAATGGCATTGCAAGTGGTGCTGGTGGAGGAGTTGCCGATGGAATTCCATTGTGCTTTGCAACTGTAGGATCGTTCCCGCAATGTCTAGAAGGTTTCACATGGTTCGGTGGACGAGCTGAGGACGTAATACCATTGTGTTTTGCTAGGGATTGTTGCTAATCGCATTGTAATGGCTGCGTGAACTTGCTGCAGCTTGATTCTTTCAGATTTTGCCTGCTTTCATTTTCTGCTCTGGCGTCGAGATCCGGTTGTGGAGCTACAATTTCCGACGCCGTTGCGCGTACTTCTATTGCGTTTTGCGACTCAGTCTCTGCAGATCGCATTGTAATGGCTGCGTCAAGGTTGCTTCGTGCTGTGGCTGTATTCGTAATACTATTGTCTTTTGCAGCTGGACTTCGTAAATCGTATTGGAGTGGCTGCATGAAGGCTGCCACAGTGATTTGTCAGCAGATTTTCTCCATTTTGGCGTCAGTGATTTTCCTTCTAAAAATCCTTTTAAAAAGTGCTTCAAAATCGTCTTGCACAACAACAGTACGTGGTTGGACGACAAAGAGTCGGACGACGAAGTTCTCCTCAGACAATACCTTCATCTCTGGGAAGCTGTGCGGTCCTTTGAACCAGAGTTTGTTGATGCTGAGATGAAGCGCAGACAAGGTCTTGCCGCAGAGGGATCAACTCTCGTTTGACTGCCGAGGGCTGGGTGTGCGTTGTTATGAACCGCATCCGGGTCTGAATTGCTGTGCTTCAGTAGCTTCGCCTTTCATTTAGAGTTGCGAACCGCAGAATGCCTCTGTCACTTAATTTTGGTTTCTGTGTGCGTTGTTACGAACCGCACAAATTACTTTACTTCGTGTGATCCCCACCATGACATTTATACATTTTCTTACTGGCAAATCTTCTGGCATTCTATCTGACATATCTTCTGACATTCTATTTGGCATTCTATCTGACATATCTTCTGGCATATCTTCTGGCATATCTTCTGGCATATCTTCTGGCATTCTATCTGACATATCTTCTGGCATTCTATCTGACATATCTTCTGGCATTCTATCTGGCATTCTATCTCGCATATCTTCTGGCATATATTCTGACATATCTTATGGCATTCTATCTGGCATTCTATCTGGCATATCTTCTGGCATATCTTCGGGCATATCTTCTGGCATATCTATCTGGCATATCTTCTGGCATATTTTCTGGCATTCTATCTGGCAAATCTTCTGGCATTCTATCTGGCATATCTTCTGGCATATAATCTGGCAAATCCTCTGGGATTCTATCTGGCATATTTTGTGGCATTCTATCTGACATTTTATCTGGCATAGCTGTGATACACAACAGAAACCCTGTGTGATGTTGATTGTCTCAAGCATCAATCCAGCATGAGATCACTTCAAGTAATTTGTAGTAACTTGCTGTAAGATGTTGCCTGTCTCAAGCGTCTTTGCAAACAGCTCCAAAGGTACAGAAGTGGAAATGTCTCTGTCCACCCCAGTGACTCTGTTATCTGTTCAAACTGATTGCTTCAAACTTTGCCACCTGCAAAGTAAGAAGTGGCATTGCCCCGGGCACTCTACCACACACGCGCGAGTTTGCAAATAATATATAACATATTTGTCTGACATTCTTTCTAACTTTCTTCTGCACATTCTTTGTCCCATATCTTCCTACATGAGGTCCGGCAGGGAACACTTGGCATGGATACTCGCGGTTGAGGTCCGGCAGGGAACACTGGGCGTGGATGGTCGTGGTTGAGGTCCGGCAGGGAACACTAGGCGGGGATACCCGCGGTTGAGGTCCGGCAGGGAACACTGGCGGTGATGGTCGTGGTTGAGGTCCGGCAGGGAACACTGGGCGTGGATGGTCGTGGTTGAGGTCCGACAGAGACCACTGTGCGTCGAGGGTCGCGGTTGAGCAGGAGGAGGAGGAGAGGAGAGGAGAGGAGGAGAGGAGGAGAGGAGGAGCAGGCAACTGACATAAAATCTAACAACCCTCACCTGGCAGGTGGGGAAAAACCATGATCGTATTGCATACATGTGACAAAAAAAGGATCTTTCAGATTTTGGCTGCTTTCATTTTCTATTTAAAATCAACTTTTTCTGCTGTGGCGTTGGAGCTACAATTTCCGACGCCGTTGCGCGTAGTTCTATTGTGTTTTGCAACTCAGTCTCTGCAGATCCTATTGCAATGGCTGCGTCAAGGTTGCTTCGTGCTGTGGCTGCATTTGTAATACTATTGTCTTTTGCAGCTGGACTTCGTAAATCATCTTGGAGTGGCTGCATGAAGGCTGCGAAATAAATTTGTTAGCAGATTTTCTTCATTTTGGCACTAGTGTTTTTTTGTTGCACGTAGGTTTAGAGCAGTGTGAAGTGTGGGGCGTAAAGAGTGCAGTGTGAAGTGTGAAGTGTGAAGGAAGCAGTGGGAAGTGAGAAGTGTAAAGTGTGGAGTGTGAAGTGTGAAGTGTGGAGTGTGAAGTTTAAGTTTGGAGTGCGAAGCGCGCAGTGTGAAGTGTGAAGTGTGAAGTGTGAAGTGTGAGATTTGGAGTGTGAAGGAAGCAGTGGGAAGTGAGAAGTGTGAAGTGTGGACTGTGAAGTGTGAAGTGTGGAGTGTGAAGTTTCAAGTTTGGAGTGCGAAGAGTGCAGTGTGAAGTGTGGAGTGTGGAGTGTGAAGACTTTGCTTCGTCTCTCGCTGAAAAAATCAAACGGTTGTCGAGGGAAGGACACGGTCGGGACAGGTTGCCTTTGAACTATAGTAGGTCATTTATGTTTGGGAAACTTCCGCCGCCGGCTTGCCCGGGTCTATGTTAGATGCATATAAATGCATACTCAGAATGATGTCCCAAATTCGCAGGCGTTGATTGTGAACATGTTGGTACACTGATGGCCTGATTAGGGGTGGACCGGGTGGACATGGTCGGATTCCAAACCCGGGGCCGAATTGATGGGTTGATACTGATGCTGCCTCCGAAAGGAAAAGGGTTCTTTCTTTATACCCATCTATGTGTCTATGTGTGCATCCATTTATTTACCTCTTATATTTCTTTATCTCCATGTTTATTTGCCTTTGCATTTTGATCTATATTTGCCGATCTATTTAGAAATACACCTTATATATTATATCTGTCTACCTTTTTGCATCTATTCTTTCCCTCCAGCCATATACACATCTACATATCTACCAATCTTTCTATGTATCTACCTATATGTATTTATTTCCTTATGAATCTACCTATCTATGTTTTCTTTCTTTTCTATGTTTATAAATATATGTTTATCAATCTATTTGTTTATCGATTTACACATCTATCCAATCCGATCTAAAAAAATCAACCAAACATAAATTATGTAATCTAATCCAGTCTAAGCTTTTCTTGAGCCAATTTCACTACCAACTGAATCTAATTTATAATTCGTATCGTACAATAAAACAACATATAATCGACTCTATCTATCTACCTAAGATGTGGCTATCCACCTATCATCTATCATCTAATCTAATCTGATCTACTATATTTATCTATCCGTCGATCCAGCCGTCCACCGATCTGTTTGTGTCTCTACCTTTCCTCTCCTGTCCTGTCCTGTCCCATCCTGTCCTATATGTCTTTTCGTTCATGTGACATGTGTATCTATCTAGTGATCTATCGATTTCCTTTTTTTCTATATATATTTATCGAATTTAATCGATTGATAGATCCATCCGTCTATCCACTACGTTGCACTCATGGTACTCGCCGTTGCAGTACACGGGGCAGGCCGAAATGGATGCACTTGCCACGTCCATCGGGATGGGAAAAAAGTCGGAGGCCTATGGTTTGGTGCATTCGGCGCTGGCAGAACGCGAGGTTCAAAAAGTGCTGGAAACTCGGTGGTTCTACCAGCCTTTTCTATTTTAAGTGACATTTTTTCCCATAGTTGATATCCCATGGTTATCCCATGTTATCCCATGGTGATATTTTCAGTGGAAAAAAACAATTTATCCCAGTTATCCCATGTTACCCCATGGTTTGGATGGTGATCCTCCATGAAAATCTTGGGGCGGCTTCGCGGCGAGGAAAATTGTGTGACCACAGGCTACAGTGAAGGAGCCAAGGAGGAAGTGAGGCGCTGAAACTGGTAGCTGGTTGCTCTTTTATTGCCGACCGCTTGATGGTTCCTGGTATGTCTTGCTATTGGTAAAAAATGGTAAACCTACTACCGGATTGGTTTGTGCTGGTTGGCTGCATTTTTTTCCCCTTCTGATGGATGTTGTTGCCTTTCAACAATAACAAAAAAACGCGAATTGGAAAACGTTTTTTTCCCATTTTTTTCCCCTTGGAAATAAACCATCACCTCGGCATATCGCATGCATATCGCCTTGGAGGCTTCTTGTGCTCAAGAAAGCCATGGCCCCACAACCTGAGAGGTTGGAACTGGGGCTGAAACCTCCATATCTACCCCGCACTTTGCCTTCAGGCGGCTCACAATGGCAGGGTGGTACCAAAATGGAGGTTCGGTGTATGTTTTTTTCCCCGTCAGATGATACATATGATACTGGTAATTTTTGATGATGCGATACATTCACATTCGGCAGTATGTTTGGTTGAACATTGTTTTGGGCCAGTTTTTTTGGAGATACTGTGTTTTATCAAGGGTTTAATGATGTTTTTCTAACAAGTAAGTGAAAAACGTTTATGACAGGTTGGTGATGGTGTTATGATTATATAACTAATATCATGATAATCATGTATTTGTTGATTGATGCCATATGACATTTAATATGACTTTGTAGTCTTATCTTATCGGATGATTTTGATCTCATCAACAGGCACAAAAAATACAACACGTCGTTGCTGGGTTTATTGACCAAGCGTGGCACCGTCCCAGGCGGCCAAGTGAACTTGGAGCTTCAATTTTCTAAATGCTGATATTAAGAGGAGTAAGAGGTTTCCTAAGTCATGGGGGTAGCCCAATTTTCCTTTTTTTAGCCATCCAGCTATTTCGGGATTCCCCCATTTATGGAAACACACAGCCCCCTGGTCGCCCTGTCACAGACTGCACCAGGTGACAAAACGTCGCGGCGACTGCAAGCGGACTTCGCCGATTTATTCAAACCCCTCGGACTCGACAGGTTTGATTGCCCGGGGACCGTTTCTTTGATCAGTTTCAAAAATAGCCAAATAATTATGGGTAAATATGGGTACTATGAGTAAATCACCTGGCAAAATGGTGCATGATTTTTGTATTCAAGCGAAAGTGGAAGATGCTACCAGTAATTGGCTGGTCATGGATGTCCGAAGGATGATCGTGGCCAAAAAAGATGGTTCCACGAAAAACTTAGATATTTTTCATCATCTTTCAGGAGGATGACACAACTGACACAACGGACAC